TGCAGTGCAGGGAATCAAATCATGTGTGCAGTGTGTGTTTTGCGGTACCTCAAAAGCTTTTGAGACACCGCAAAGTGCACTGGTACGCTCATGTGAATGTACCCCATTAAACATGGCTTAGTGGTTCATCCTTCCAGTATACAACATGTTGGGACTGATATCAGTAGAAGAGCTGTCTGATTGGGCTGGGCTTCTGGTTGGCCCGTTACTCTTTGGAACCAAGCATTCCAATCTCAGCTGAGTCAGCCCAGCCTTTCCTTCTTCCTAAAACATTACCCTTACTATCAAAGTTTGTGCATTCTTCTTTTGAATGAGACCTTAAAAAAAGAAGGTACCATTTGGCTTTGATGTTCTTAGCCAAAATATTTCCTTTCTGATTGTTGTGTGTGCTGTTTAAAGAGCAGAATGCTACTCCCTTCTCTGTAGACTTGGATGCCTTGTTAGCAGTGCTGCTCCATGCTGTGATGCAGTGTGGGGCCTTTATAAATACCAGGTTTATTGTTACTATTCACTAACTTGATTATTCTTTGCTTTGGTCAAAGGAATGTATTTTTTATTAATACGTTTTTATAGATGTGGGTTTAGATTTGGTTAGGATGATTTTCTCTGGGAAGAGCTGGTTTGATATTGAGATGGCAGGCTGCATAGTTTCTCACTTGAGACTTTGGATGCTATTACCGAATGTGGCAGCACCCAGCTGAAGGGAAAGAATTAAAATCTCATTGGAATACAAGCGCTGTGGGTTCTGAGTGCCTGGAATGGATTGAAGAGTATGTTAAAGCCCAGTGACACTGCTGAGAGTTTAAGAAAATTATACTGTAGGAGCAGTTTACCCCAAGTTCATTGCAGGCTGTCTGAATTTTCTACAAAAATGTGTTTAGCCTTATATTCACATGACAGCATAAAGGCAATACACTCTAATAGAATTTCTGTGGAAGCCAGAACTGTTCTTATGAAGTGAAGTCTTCCGTCATAGGGGCCAATCCTGCTAGGTACACAGCACTCTCAATTCGTGCTTAAGGACAGAGGTGAAAGGGAGAGTTTAAAGTTTCCTTTTCAATCACTTTTAATACTTCATGCATTTTATGAAATAGTGTCATCTGCATTAGCACAATATATTACCCAAGGTATTTTAATACTTGAGTAATGGAAAAGGAGAGAGTTCTGTGGTCTAATTGATTTATGAACAGAATTTATGATTTCTTCTTGTTCATTATCCACCCCAATAGTTTTTGAGAGAATCTTTCAAAAACTGAGAACAGGACACATGCTGTCAAACTCTTTCAGATATACCAGCCCTGAAAGAAACCAAAGGAAGTGATTTAAATATAACATAGGACAACACTCAGTGGAATTGGGTATACTTTGCCAAGAATGCTGGGCCCCTTGAAGCCAGTGGGAGTTTTACCCATTGATTTCAGTGGGGTCAGGATTTTATTCTATGAGCCTACTCCTCCTGCTCCTAATTAAGTTAGTTGCAAAACTCATTAGGGACATGATTGGATTCTACAAGAGGTTCTCAATCTACATCCCAAGCACATATCTGATAGTACATCAATCACCATGTTGACAGATGGCCCCAGGACAGTCTCTTCCTATTTCTGGCTGGATAAACGTGGTATATTTAACCATCTAAAGTGTTTGATAGACATATAACTGTCCTTAACTTCTGATCCTTGATATGTACAACAACTTTAAATTGCATTTGGACATTAATAGCCACTCTCATCTGTATTGAAGGTATGAAAATCATCCATTTCCATCGAGGTGGTGTAGGATAGTGGTTCTCGGCCTTTTTGGACTTGAGGCCCCCCCTCACTCCCGACCCACAGCCTCCTGGCCCTGCTGGTGTCCCTCACTCCCAACGCACAGTTCCCCACCCCCTCAGCCCTCCTGGTGCCCCTCACTCCTGACCTGCTTTGCCTCCTCACCAGGCCCCAACCCCTCAATGTGTGGGGCAGAGAGTAGGTATGTGGGGAAGGGGGGGGGCATGTGACCCCCCCCCCAGATTTGTGCACTTACAGGAGGCACGGGGCTGCAGTCTGGCTGCACAGACACAGGCAGGTGGGACCCAATGCGGGAGGGGTAAGCAGGGCGGTGAGACTCACTGCTGCTACTGCTGGGACCCCCACACCAGCTGTACCATAACAGCATGAGGAGTAATGGATGGGGGGCCATACTGCCCTCACTTCTTCTTGGTGCCAGCTGCTTGTGTGCTGGGCAGCAGCTCTACCCTAATGCCATGGTCTGGCTGTCACTGCTCCCCTCAAGCTGCCCAGACTGCCTCCCACATCACCGTCTCCCAGGGTACAGTCACAGCCTGAGGAGGAAGCGGTAGCTGGGCCATGGTGGCAAGGTAGAGCTGGAGCCTGATGCACGAGCGGCTGGCAATGGGAGAAGGTGAGGACAGTGTGGTCCCCCCATCCATTATTCCTTGTGCTGCTGGTGGTGTGGCTGTCATGGGGGTCCTGGCAGTGGCAGCAATGAGTCTCGCTGGCCTGCTCTGCTCTTGCCTGGTGGGTCCTGCCCACTGGGCTGCGGAGGCAGCTCCTATCCTTGTCGGTCCAGCCAGGCTACAGCCCCAAACCCACTGTGGGTGCATAAATTGGGGGGGAGGGGGAACATGCCCTCCCGATGCATTTTCTTTTCTGTCCTAGTTTATCTTCATTATTTCAATTCCTTGATTTAAAACAAAAATTGATTTGCCTCAATTTCTTTTTGCAGTTGCTGGATTTGGAATGGATCCTGACTTACAAATTGATCTCATCACAGAACTGGACCTTGTGAATACGACCACTGGAGTTACGCAGGTGTCAGGACTACACAATGCCAGCAAAGCATTTTTATTCCAAGGTAAATCAAACAGCTTCATTTCACTAGGACAGCCCCTGTCTTTATGAATTACTGAGAGTCTGGATGTTTAACTTAAGGTCTGTAATGTGCTTGCATTTCACTATGGCTTATGCTTATCTTGAAGATATTGTATGTCTTACTGTGATTAATGTGATGTTTTTAAAGGAACTGTATCGGGTAGCTTACATCAGTAGGCACAAATTTCAAGGGAAACATTTTTAGGTAGGTGCAAACATTTTCCTCAGTTGTTTTCAACCAAATCCTTTGCAGCAGTTTCCTGGCCTGGACCCAGTCCTACCTTGACATTTTTGCCCATGTACCCATACACCATAGGAGTTGTGTGAAAAGAAGAGGGTAGTCATAGAGTCCTTTGTCAGTGTATTGATATTGATTAGTACTATATCAGACTCCAGACTATTTCAGTGGGACTCCTTGCATGAAAAGGGTACATAATACCATATTTTTGACTGTCCAAGTTGAAACTGGCACAAAGTAAGTTGAGAACATTCCTGGGGAAAAAGTAACTGCTTTGTTAAGTAATTACAGGTCATTTACCTCCAGCCTAGCCAGTTTAATATGAATAAATAAGATACCTATCAGAAAATCGTATTGGAAGAACCCTTTAGGAAAATTATGCAGCTTTCACCCATACTTCATGATATTTCAAATCACATGGTTTGTGCTAATTCCTAGATGCCAGAATCATTAACATCTGAAATGTAGGCATCATTACAACTATGAGATATTTAGCTTTTGATTTCCTTCCTAAGAATTCAGTTTTGCATTTTGTGCTGGAGTACTATTTAGGTAGCTGAGGTGACCTGTGTTAAAAGCAGGTCTCTGCAGACTACAGTCTTAATTAGTTTAAAATATTTTAAATTTTTCAATTGAGGTTTTGTGGTGTTAACTGAAATCACATTGACAAACTGTTACTGTGGGTCTTCAGTGTGGTAGTCAGTCTTCATGGAAAAGCGAAGAGGCCAACATGGGTAATCCAGGAGTTTTTGAAACTATTGAGACTGAAAGAAAATTTGAAAGGATAGTGATAATGGATGTACAGTTCTTTAGTTCCTTTTGTACTAGAGAACCCCAAAGTACTTGTAATTTTCTTTAGGTTTCTAAGATAAAAACTTTACACATAAGTTTATCTGCCTCTGAAATGCAGACAGCTCTAGGGAAAAACGTGCTTGGACAGGAAGTGAAGAATACAGTTTAGGGTTTGGAGTTGGTATGCAAAATTCTTTGAAACCTAGATCCCCAGGAACAAATCTCTTCATGCGTAAAGCTCATGTGCTTGAGCAGTCACCTCGTGTAAATCCTTTTTCACCAAGAGGCCAGGGTAGAACTGCTGTCTGTATTTAGGTGTCTGTGTATAGTTTTAGTCAGGAATGGGTCTGTGATGGGACTCTTGACCAAGCATCCCCAGTTGTTCCTCCTTCCTGGAAGAGCTCTATGGGAGACCCCTTCCCTGATGCCGTGAGACAGAGTGCAGATCCCAGATTACCCTGATTGTTTTGGGGTGACTTCCCTGGTTGTACATATTATTTTTTTGTTAATTGTCAGTAGTATGCTTGAGGCTGAATAAGATAGAAACATTCCCCTTCATTAGACAAAGAAGCTTTCTTTAGGACAAAGGGTATCAAGCTCATCCTTCTACTTCCTTGCTTTTTTCCCCCTTTTTCTTTTAGTTGGCTAAGTTTTATTTAAATGTAATGGCTCTCTTGCCATCTTCTACTGATATATTAAATCTAGTATCTTTACTGTGTTCTATTCCATGTGTAGTAAAATCAGTGGAAAGAAAAGGTAATAGCTTAATTGTAGGAAATGGAAAAGAACATAATTTTTTTTTTTTTTTTACCTGTAGGGTAGTTAGTGTCTTCCAGGTAATTCCTGGATATATTATATGTACACATAGTATATACTTCCTTGTACAGGAGTTTTTCATTTGGGCCATGAAGCCAGTTGCAGTCCAGATGGTGTACACAGATCAGCCATGTACTGAAGCCAGAGTACGCCCTGGACTGGACCTGTGTGTTGCATGCAGCATGCAACTCCAGCCCTTGTGCTGCATGCACATGTGCTGGCCCTGCCTCTGCCCACTGCATGTGGGATTCATGACTGGTGTGGAGTGCAGGCCCAGTCCAGGTGTGTGTTGCAGAGCACCTGCTCTGGACCAGCTCTGTGCACTGGATCTGGAGCACTGGGCTGGTCTGTGGGCCCGATCTGTGCTGGTTCTGGATGCAGCCTATAGGGCTGCTCCGGTGTGGGTGCCCCATGCAGTGCACACTTTGAACTAGTCTCATGTGCAGTGCATGGGGCTTGTCCGAGACCCACAGGCAGCACCGTGGATCAGGTGATATGGCCTGCAATCCGGAGCAGCCCTATCTTTGACACCCTTGCCTTAGGACGATGACTTGACCTTGCTTTAGACCTTTTGGTTCAGGCTAATTTGTTCTTTGTTTGATGCTCATCTTTCTTTGCTGGTGCTTAGATGTTTATCAGTAGCTGACCCACCATTGTGTTAAATAATAATAGAGCTTTTTTTTTCTGCACTTGAAACTCCGGGGACAATTTACAAAAGCTTGAATTTGGCTACACTAGATTGGAATACTGAACTATTAGAATCACTGATCTTTGTATTTGATTTGCTTAATTTTACAGTAGTTCTTCAGCCTTACAAACCTTGTACATGTTGGAGCATCCCCAAAATGACTATCTCAGAAAATGCTAGGAAAGTAGCACCTAAGTTTTAAAAACTGCAGTGTTCTATGAAGCATATCACTAATCCACTGCAAGATGTACCTTCTTTTCTATGTTCTCTAAGAAGTGATCCCTTCTTTCAGAAAGGCTTTGATCATTTATTGTTGTGCTCTACTGTTTAATGCCTGCTTTTCTTTTCTTTGCTTTACTTACTTGTTACACATTGCAGTAATATCTAGTATCTGTTTCTCAGGGTTCTGGCAAACGTTTATTTAATGGCATGATGGAAACTGATTCCACATGTACACGGTAAAGAATTGCAATTTTGGGATCAGGGGTCAGATCCCAGTCACTTTGGGCACCTATACATGTGCAGCAAGTCTGCTCCCATGCACTGTAATTACAGTGCATGGGAGTAGACTTGATTAATTGAGTCTGCTGAAGCATGGTAATTACTGTGCTCCAGCAGACTCCAGTGTCACATGTATCAGCATACCCGTGCTGAAAAATGGCAGCAGGGGCACTGATACACATGTTGCTCTGGGTGTTTTAATTAGAGCGGCTCTCAGAGCCTCTAATTAAAGCCCTCCCCCCACACACACCCATGGAGCATGTGTATCATTACTGTGTGCCAGTGCACAGGGAGTCAGGGGTTATGACTTCACCAAGGATTTCACCTATGAGTTGAAAGCTTGGTGCCTGCAGCACTGTATGCAAGGCTGACAGTCAGCTGATTGTTGGCCCCAGCCTGGCTAGGTCTGGGTCTGGTCCAAGACTGTGAGCTCTCTAGGGTCCAGGTTCAACCACTGGCTGATTGTTGGACCCATCCTCAAACAGTTTTGTTTCTGGTTCACCTGGGGCTGTTCAGGCAGGCAGTCAGCTGACTGTCAGCCCTGGTGGGTTCAAGGGCTTTCCCCACTGAGGTCTTTAGTCCCCATACCTTGCATCTTTGGTGGGACTGCTGAGCTTGGGTTAGAGGCTCCCAGCTGGGGGAGCTGAAAGGCTGCCAAGTGTGTGGGGTTTAAAGTCTCTGTGCAGGAAGTCCTTTATCTCCCTCTGCTGGAAGCCTCTGATCCCCCATGCCCAGAAGCCCTGCCAGAGCAGCTGGGCATGGGGTTTAAATTTCCCACTGAGGGAAGCCTTTTGGCTACCTTATCTAGAGGCTCTGAGTTCTCTTTCCCTCCACCAGGGCAGCCCTGGGCCGAGTTGGGAACCAGGACTACATGGAAGGCCAGTGCCCACTGTCAGCTGATTTCAGTCATTCTATTTTTCTCACCCTTCAAAAATGCAACTACCTTTCAAACTTAGAAAGAACACCGAAGAAAGAAATCAGAGAAACTGTTACTCTTTATTCAGTTCTGACCTGCAGTGTATTATGAGACAGACTGCAATGTTGTGTGGTTACATGCAGTAACAATAGATACTAAAAATTTATGTTCTTAAAATCTCACCTTAAGAAAGTTTAGAATTTAGCTCTAAAAGGAACCTTCCAGACCACTGAACCCAGTCCTTTCTGCAGGTCAGGATCCACAAGATTGTTTGGCTAGCACACCACGGCCACAAAGCACACTAATCCTCCCTGCAAGAATTGCCAGCGATAAATAGCAGGGAAAACTAGGGTGGTGCCAACTGCAGTGGCAGGGAATTTATGTTAATATATGTTCTTATGATTTTGGAAAAAAATAGTTCTGTACAGCAGAGGAAGGCCAAAAGAAAAAAAAGTCCAACCGTTATGATCAGGAAATATTTTTCTTATCCCAAATGCAGTGATTGGTTTGATCCTGAGGGCATGAGCAAGACCCTCCAGCCAGGCACTGGAGACCTTCTGATACCTGTTAGGAACATCAGCACATTTTGGCCAAACTCCATTAACTGTTGCAAATGTCCAGTGCTTCAGAGGAAGGCAGGAAAGAAAAAAAAATGAAACAAATGAAAGCAACCACTTCTACTGCCAAATAATACATTCATGGAAAGTTGAGGGAAATTCTTTCTGGCCCCTGCAGGAAACCAGCAGAAACCCTGGACCATGGGATTACTAGAACCCTCTTGTACAGAGATGGAGATGTATTTCAGCACCATCAAAGGCATATCAAATACTTGAATCCATGTGTCAGATGCACTGATTAGTGCTGAAACAATACCCCTTTCCCATTGTGCTATCCCTTCCATACTCTTGTTGAACTTCATTTCAGAGCCCTTCAGGTACCTTGCATCCCCTACTTTGTTTGAGAGACCATTCCAAAATGTTACTCCACTGATTGTTAAAAACCTTTTTTAAAATTTCTAATAATTTCTAGTCT